TGTTGATTTCACATTGAATTCATGTTAGTTGACAACTCAACCAAATGTAAATCAACACTAGATGTTGAAATGACGTCTGTGTCCAGTGGGAGGCCATTTAAATGTGTAAGATCAGCCAAGAGGGGGAGAAGGAGGAGTGTTATGTGTGTGTGTATAAGAGATTCTGAGAAAATTAGGGAGGGAGAGCGAGAGATAGACTAATTATGTAAGTCTACAAATTACAACTGCAAGATGAGAGATTCTGCAGAGGCCTAGAGATTAAGGCTAGAGAAAGTAAGCGACTGAAATAGTGACACAGAAAGAAAGGGTGGGGCCCGGGAAAGAGATAGAAGTAAAGAGATAAAAAAGAGATCGAAGGAAAGAGATATAGAGTTAGTGGATAGGTTGCAGTGTTTTCAGTGCCCCATGCCAGCTACAGTACATTCCCCTCTCTCTCCCTGATGATGAGCCCTCACCCAATCTGGCTCTGCCTGGCTCTGGCTCGCATTGAGGGCCCAGAATGTGCACAGTCAGCTGCTCCAACCCCCCCCCCCCCGCTGTCCCTGCCTGCCACACTATTTATATACACGGCCCTGCCTCCCCACATACCACACACACTCACACACATGGACGTAAGCACTCTCTCACACACACACGGACGAGAGTGCTCTCACACACACAGACACGTAACACTGAACAGCGTAGGATCGCTGATACAGACTACGACACAGGAACTTGCAGGTCCTTAGCAGTGGATTCAATAGGTGGACTTACAGGGAAAGACAGACAGAGATAGTAGGGTCAAACCAGTGAAGAGCAGCACATGTGGGACACTGAGGTAGGCTAACGTTGCGTCTAATTGAAAATAACATTATTCTCCGCTCACAGCGAGAAAGCATGTGCATGTGCATGTACAGTTGAAGTCGGAAGTTTACATACACCTTAGCCAAATACATTTAAACTCAGTTTTTCATAATTCCTGACATTTAATCCAAGTAAAAATTCCCTGTCTTAGGTCAGTTAGGATCACCACTTTATTTTAAGAATGTGAAATGTCAGAATAATAGTAGAGAGAATGATTTATTTCAGCTTTTATTTATTTCATCACATTCCCAGTGGGTCAGAAGTTTACAAACACTCAATTAGTATTTGGTAGCATTTCCTTTAAATTGTTTAACTTGGGTCAAACGTTTCGGGTAGCCTTCCACAAGCTTCCCACAATAAGTTGGGTGAATTTTGGCCCATTCCTCCTGACAGAGCTGGTGTAACTGAGTCAGGTTTGTAGGCCTCCTTGCTCGCACACGCTTTTTCAGTTCTGCCCACAAATGTTCTATAGGATTGAGGTCAGGCCTTTGTGATGGCCACTCCAATACCTTGACTTGTTGTCCTTAAGCAATTTTGCCACAACTTTGGAAGTATGCTTGGGGTCATTGTCCATTTGGAAGACCCATTTGTGACAAAGCTTTAACATCCTGACTGATGTCTTGAGATGTTGCTTCAATATATCCACATAATTTTCCTTCCTCATGATGCCATCTATTTTGTGAAGTGCACCAGTCCCTCCTGCAGCAAAGCACCCCCACAGCATGATGCTGCCACCCCTGTGCTTCACGGTTGGGATGGTGTTCTTCAGCTTGCAAGCCACCCCCTTTTTCCTCCAAACCTAACAATGGTCATTATGGCCATACAGTTCTATTTTTGTTTCATTAGACCAGAGGACATTTCTCCAAAAAGTATGATATTTTTCCCCATGTACAGTTGCAAACCGTAGTCTGTCTTTTTTATGGTGGATTTGGAGCAGTGGCTTCTTCCTTGCTGAGCGGCCTTTCAGGTTATGTCGATATAGGACTCGTTTTACTGTGGACATAGATACTTTTGTACCTGTTTCCTCCAGCATCTTCACAAGGTCCTTTGCTGTTGTTCTGGGATTGATTTGCACTTTTCGCACCAAAGTATGTTCATCTCTAGGAGACAGAACGCGTCTCCTTCCTGAGCGATATGACGGCTGCGTGGTCCCATGGTGTTTATACTTGGGTACTATTGTTTGTACAGATGAACGTGGTACCTTCAGGCGTTTGGAAATTGCTCCCAAGGATAAACCAGACTTGTCTACAATTTGTTTCTGGCTGATATCCTTTGATTTTCCCATAATGTCAAGCAAAAAGGCACTGTGTTTGAAGGTAGGCCTTGAAATACATTCAAAGGTACACCTCTAATTGACTCAAATGATGTCAATTAGCCTATCAGAAGCTTCTAAAGCCATGACATCATTTTCTGAAATTTTCCAAGCTGTTTAAAGGCACAGTCAACTTAGTGTATGTAAACTTCTGACCCACTGGAATTGTGATACAGTGAATTATAAGTGAAATAATCTGTCTGTAAACACTTGTTGGAAATATTACTTGTGTCATGCACAAAGTAGATGTCCTAACCGACTTGCCAAAACTATAGTTTGTTAACAAGAAATGTGTGGGGTGGTTGAAAAATGAGCTTTAATGACTCCAACATAAGTGTATGTAAACTTCCAACTTCAACTGTAAGTTTTTATGCAATGGATTGACAACATTGTTTTGTCAACATTGTTTTGTTGAGTCCATGAATGCAAATGTCCATTCTTGGAGATCAACAATGTTTTGACTATTCCTGTAAACCTGTTTTAATTGAATAGGTTAGAAAACAAGCCGTTCTCTACTTTAACTTCTGTGTAGACCATGCTACCACAGCTCATAGGACAGGATTGTCAATTCACTCAAAGTATTTCCCTCCCTAGGAAAGTGTCCTGACGACAATGGCCATTCATTTAACCAGGGCTCCTCTCCATTCGCTATATGACTCACAGTGCAGGAATGTATTCACCTCATCACACTAAAAGTGGCACCAGTCGGCTGACAGTCTGTTGTTGGGTACATTTGGGATCCGATGTGCTAAAAGAGCTAGCCTGGTACCATATCTATTTGTGTTGGGTGATCTCGCTCTCCGAGGCCGACGTGAGAAGGGTCTTTAAATCAGGTCAACACCCGAATTGGCGCGGGCCCCGACGGTATTCCAGGGCGCGTTCCCAGTCTGTAATCCCCACATGTTTTAAGATGACCACAATCATCCCCATTCCTAAGAACTCTAAGGCTTCATGCCACAATGATTACCACCCTGTAGCACTCACTTCTGTAATCATGTAGTACTTTGAGAGGCTGGTTATGGCACACATTAACTCCACCATCTCAGACCCACTCCAATTTACATACCGCCCCAACAGATCCATAGATGATGCAATCTCAATTGCTCTCCACACTGCCCTCACCCACCTAGATAAGAGGAATACCTACGTGAGAATGCTGTTCATTGACTACAGCTCTGCGCTCAACACCATTGTCCGCTCCAAGCTCGTCACCAAGCTTAGGACCCTGGGACTGAACACCTCCCTCTGCAACTGGATCCTGGAGTTCCTGACGTGCCGCCCCCAGGTGGTGAGGGTAGGCAACAACACCTCCACCATGCTGACCCTCAACACGGGGGCCCCACAGGGGAGTGCTTAGTCCCCTCCTGTACTCCCTGTTCAACCACGTCTTTGTGGCCACGCATGACTCCAACACCATTATCAAGTTTGCTGATGACACAACGGTGGTAGGCCTGATCACCGGCGACGATGAGTCAGCCTACAGGGAGGGGGTCAGTGACCTGGCAGTGTGGTGCCGGAGCAACAACTTCTCCCTCAACGTCAGCAAGACCAAGGAGCTGATCGTGGACTACAGGAAACGGGGGGGCGAGCACGCCCCCATCCACATCGACGGGGTGGCAGTGTCCAAATCACTAAATACTTAAAATGGTCCAAACACACACACACACAGTTGTGAAGAAGGCGCGACAGTGCCTCTTCCCCCTCAGGAGGTTGAAAAAGTTTGGCATGGGCCCTCAAGTCCTGAAAAGGTTCTACAGCTGTACCATTGAGAGCATATTGACTGGCTACATCACTGCTTGGTATGGCAATAGCACCGCCCTCGATCGCATGGCGCTACAGAGGGTTGTGTGGACAGCCCAGTACATCACTGGGGCCGAGCTCCCTGCCATCCAGGACCTCTATATCAGGCGGTGTGAAAAGAAGGCCTGGAAAATCGTCAAAGACCCCAACCACCCAAGCCATAGACTATTTTCTCTGCTGCCGCACGGCAAGAGGTACCGGTGCATCAAGTCTGACACCAACAGGCTCTTGAACAGCTTCTATCTCCAAGCACTAAGACTGATATATAGCTAACAAAATAGCTACATGGACCAATTTACATTGTATCTTTATTACATTTTAATGCATACACTTTCATACTATTTTATTTCATACTGGTCTCCCATGGGAATCGAACCCACAGCCTTGGCATTGTAAGCGCCATGCTCTACCAACTGAGCCACACAGGTAGACCTTTTATTTCAATATTTGCACTGCCTCTATTCACACTCACAGGGCCCAACACACTCTCACACACTGTCACTCCAACACACACACAAATACTCACTCCATCATTTGCTCACACATAATATGCACATACATTTATACTGACTTTACACACACATGCACACCCACTCACATGCAAGCTGCTGCTACTCTGTTTATCTTATATCCTGTTGCCTAGTCACCTTACCCCTATACATATCTAGTATCCCTGCACATGTAAATGTGGTATTGGAACTGAAAATGTCCTTTATATACATTTCATTTACATTTCAGTCATTTAGCAGACGCTCTTATCCAGAGCGACTTACAGTTAGTTAGTGCATACATTTTTTTTTTCATACCCCCTGTGGGAATATATATAGTATGCTTACTTACTTATTTTATTGTGTATTTCTTATTCTTATTTCTCGTGTGCTTTTTTCTCTAGTAATACATTGTTATTGATTATTGCATGTGACATTAAAACTTGAAACTTGTCTTGCCAAGTCCTGGCGGTGACAATGACCATAGGAGTTAGGAAGACAGCACAAACAGATCTCAGGCTATAAAAGATCCCAGATAATGAGCGCTCTTCTCCCAGTCCTCAGCCATTGTAAACCCTGGGAGATATGAGAGAGAGGGAGGCTTTGGGCCCGGCCCGGCGCTGCCACTGTTTACACAGGAAGAGGTGAGGAATGGCCCTCAAGGCAGAGCCCAGATCAGGCGTGCCTCTCTACCACATTTGCATGACTGGACAGTTTAGGAAAATGTATGAAGAGGCAGTGATAACCAGGGGTAAAGAGTTGTGTTTAGTTAGCATAGCTCCACTTTTTGTTCCTATCAACTAATATAAAATTTGCCATCTATAAAATTATTTTTTTTCATTTGTTCTAAATATTTATTCATTTACTTGTATATAGCTACGTAAAACACTTGGGACTTGCTTGTGTACAACTTCAACTAATGGGAGATGTCAATATGCGTTAAGAATGATTTAGTGTCAGCATGGGACCAGACTGAATCAACACATGTATGAAGAACCAGGGGTTAGTTAGTGTAATCTCAGATCAGCTACAGTAACAGGCTCTCCCCAAGGAAGAGAGGAAGGAGGTCGGTCACAGCAGAAAAAGTACAAAGGACCTCAACAAACCTCTGTTCCCTGTGCCCTTGTGGAAGATATATCCCCGTACCTCTCTCCCTCTCTCCCTCTTCCATCCTCCCTTCTCACTATCCTCTGGTCTTATGGGCAGCCTTCGTCTTATCTGGACCGTCCAGGACCATGGCCTGTGGAAAAATGCTGGTGTTCAGAGGAAGTGGAGGCAGTCTTCTGAGATTGGGTGGCAAAGCACTGATTAGTTATGGGTCTCCCCTCGTCTTCATGGTCCTGTCTGGAGGAAGGACTTCCTGAGCCATCAGAGACTGCGAGAGATATATGAATCAACCTCATAAAGTAGTCTTTATGGCTGTTAGACTTGAGGTCACTGGCTGCATTCTGCACAGACTGCCTATCTGTTGGGATTCTATACAACTGTTTCTAGCAGTCTCCCATTCTACTGCAGCTGCTTTGTGGGGTTACTGTGTTTGGCGGGTTGCTGTTGTGTTTGGCTACTCTATAGGGCTTCCCTATTATGCCCAGGGCAGCATGGAGATGTTCTGTTAGGCCCAATGCCTGATGCACTGCTTTGGCATGCCAGAAGCAGGAAGACAGACAAGCTGGCTATCTGGCAGAGCCTGCTTGGAAAGAAAAGAGAGAGAGACAGAGAAGGAGGGATGGAAGGGAGGGAGGGACTGAGGGAGAGAGAAAAAAACAGGGAGTGTGAGAGACTGCGCTCGGGAGAGGAGTTGAGTGCTCACAGTGTTTTTGACAGCAGTTTGGAGCACTAGGGATATCACTGGGACATTAGAGAAGAGGCCACCACAAACAGAGTCCATAAGGAGCACATGGTATGTACTATAGGAAAGCTTTAGAGCGATCTACTGAAGGAAAGCCTTTTGTACAGCAACATTGCTTTTTTTACCATGTGTTTCCTTGTTTCCTGTTAGCCAGAGGTTTCTTACTAGAGAGTGACTTGTTTCCGTAGTGCTGATAGAGCTGTAGCTGTGTACACTAAGTAAGTTATTAGCTGATAATACTGTGTTAGTACACAATATATGGGATTTAGTAGCACAGAGAAGATTAATGTTGTTTAGTTTGGCCTCTTTTAATGTTGGGATTTAAGAGGCGGTTGTTCAGTTTAGTTTGTTGATGTTAACAGGTTTTAGTATGCTCCCTTCTGTGTGTATTTATTTGTGTTTGTGTGTGTGTATGTCTGTGTGTGTGTTTGTGTGTTCATGTGTGTCCCTTGCGAAGTTTATTTTTCTTTGTTTATAGTATTTATTTTCACTCCATATACAAACATATACACACGAACAACAACTTACAGACGCACACAAACAATGACTACATGTCCTCTGCCCAGACCCAAATGCTCACACCCCCATCCCTACTGCCTGCATCATTGTTTGCCACTTGGCCTCAGTCGCCCATGCTATTTCAATAATACATTATTTGATTTTTCCATTGTGTTATTGATAGCGGATTGATTGATTTCCACGTTTTTAGTATACGTTTTTTCAAGATGAGTGATGAAAAGAGAATCGTCCAGCCCATTGGGTATCTCACTACACCCCCATAAGTTTCTATGTATTCCAGAAGCTAGGCTGATTAGTGTATTCACCTCCTGGCTCACGTGTATGTTCTGGGTGTTCTGGGTGTCTGGATGAGTGTGTTTTTTTGATGATTTATAGAAGGGGGCTTGTCCTGGTTGTTATTAAATCCTTAAGAGTCTATTGACCCGTGCGTCAATCTAAGTAACATAATTTTAAAAATCCCCATCAAAATCTGTCCGTTTAAGCTAGAGATATCCGTTTTTTTTACATGGGCTGCGTCTCAATCCGCCGCATCCGCTTATGTTGACCTTCCGCATCTGTGGTGGAAGGTGGCTGAGCTACAGTGGTGTTTGTCAGACCATGAGACATTCCGAAAATCGGTCTTCTCACAAAATGTTTGTGGCATCCAAACGGTTTGGCCTACACTCTATGGAAAGATGGTGTTTGCTCTACAATCCCCACAAGTGTTACCGACTCGTCTGAAGGTAACACATACAAACAAACAAAAGTATGGAGGTAGTTTTGTGCCAACAAAAATAAGGGGCTAAATATGTGTCCAAAAAAAACAATATATATCCTGAGCTTTCTTACTGTATATCTCCTAGATATAGGACAGACACTTCAGAACCTTCCATATGATATGACTGTCTTTTATGAATGTGTTATTCAATGTGTTTCTATGGGCTATAGTGGTAAAAGGCTTAGACTTTTAGAGGATTAATGGGTGCAGGTGGCACAGGGATGAGATAAGTGGTTTGTGTGTTTGTTCATGGTGTGTGTGTTCGTGGTGTGTGTGGTCATCCTGTGTGTGTTCATGGTGTGTGTGGTCATGTGTCTGTTTGTGGTAAGGGACCGTTTAGTTGAGCTGTTTTTGTAGACCTCTCTCTCTCTTTCGGATTCTGTGTAGTCAGTCATTCAGTCATCTGTTCTATCATTATTAGGTTACATCAACACCGAACACAGCCAGTCATGGCATGCCCAGAAAGGCTGAAAGGCATCGGTATGTGTCAGCCTTTTCATACGCTTTCAGTTTGAAGTTCTGGCCTGCCCTACACACAGTATAATAACCCACAGCACACAGTGTGTGTGTGTGTGTGTGTGTGTGTGTGTGTGTGTTTCTCTCTCACACACACCTGCTGTGTGTGCTCTGCTGGCACAGTGTGTGTACCTTGTGTGTGTGTGTACATTCAACAGATGAGTGAATAGTTGGACATGTTCTACTGACACTTGTCTCTGGCTGGCATGACAGTGCAGTTGGTTGAGATTGTGTCATATAGTCCTAAGATAAAGAGTCTAAAGGTACCATATCCCCCATTAGACACCTTGCTTTCTGGTGAATTTCCAGCTCAGCTTGTCTTTTGTTGTGGGTAAAAAGTCTGTCTGCTGATAGGAAGAAAGTGACTCCCTGGAAAAACAAATCATTCTATGGAGGGATTGAGTTCCACGTTAGACCATTGCACCTCAACACACATAAAGTGCCACAGTGCTTATTGAAGAAGCAATACCTTAGGCAATCGGCATGACAGGTAAAGAAGTAATCTGGTTTTAATGAGGAGGTTCCAGCCAGGGGCTCTGTATCCTGGGACTCTCCTCTCGCCATCTGCCCAGATACAGATACCTGGTCCGCTGCCACCCACTCCCCCCTCCCTTTGATCCTGCTACTACTGGAATAAGTGGGCACTTATCTAGGCCTCTGGTCCCAACCATGTCCCTTACACCTTGCCGTTATTAATCTGTACATTAAAGTGATTAAGTTCTATTACACTAATGATACAAGCTGTTGAATTGATTACCTATTTCTGCCAACTGTGCATGCACACACGCAAGCATGCACGCATGCACGCACACACACACAAATACACACACACACACACACACACACTACGCTACACTACACTACACTATCTGTCAATATGATAACAAAAGGCTGGCTGGCTGGCTGGCTGGGTGGGTTCCTCCAGGGCCCACATACAGCCTGTGCAGTCCTGCTAGTTTATTTCTGTCAAGCAAAACAAAAGGGTCCAAAATAACAACAGCGACAGGCTAAAAATATAACTCGGTGTGTCTGTTGTCACAAGTTGCCCAACCACCTGGGCCCTGCTGTGAAGGCCAGTGGTTCTTAGGGGGTGAGGGAGTCAGTGTGTCACGCCCTGGCTCTGGGGACTCTTAAATGTTGAGCCAGGGTGTGGATTTTTCTATGTTTAGTTTTCTATGTTTTTTGTTCTAGATCGTTTAGATCTATGTTGGCCAGGGTGGTTCCCAATGAGAGGCAGCTGTAGCTCGTTGTCTCTGATTGGGGACCATACTTAGGCAGCCTGTTGGCACCAGTAAGTTTGTGGGATCTTGATCCATAAAGGTTTGGTGTGTGTAACCTCAGGACTTCACGTATCGTTGGTTTGTTGTTTTGGTTTTGTTTGTGTGTTAAGTACTAATTAAAGATGTACGCTTATCACGCTGCGCCTTGGTTCCACGAGTCATCAGTCAACGTGCGTGACACAGTGTGAGGGCTTGGGGAAGGTGGTCTGCTATTCTACAGCTGTGTAGTCTCAGTGCTTGTCTCAGCTGCTGACTCTAAATGTCAAATGTATTGAGGTCCATTGTTGTGTGGACATAGTAACATTATGGTCAGCTAGGTTATTGGGAATAGGCTTTATGAAGTAGAATTCTGATAACCAGGTCTCATCATCTCAGTGACACAGGGAAGTAAATCACTTTTTTATTTCCATGGGTATTGTGAGGTACTACAGCCACAGTAAGAAACTAGGCAAAGGGCCTTTGAAGTTGATTCAAGCCCCAGTTTTCCCAAGCAGCACTGATATGACTGTAGAAACGTATACTCAGTGGATCTCCAGATCGTGACTATAACAAATCAACCTATCCAACTCCTCAGTCTCCTGCCTCCCTCACTGGGCCAAACACCACTTCATGCACCCCTTTGTCAGTTTAATTATTTTACCATGGAGACAATGCAGGAAGCCCATGGTTGCCAGGCGATTAAGCCTCCATCCCAGAAACCCCCCTCCCCCGCCACTCTGGTTAGTACGGTCCACTGGGCTGAGGACTGTCGCCAGGGAGACCAGAGGTGGGAGAATTCATTCCAGTAAAACAACCGGGGTTGATGGGGGTATATGGGTTAAGCCTTCTTTTCATGGCTTGCCAGTAGATTCCGGAATTCACCAGTCCAGCACTGGGGTACCTCATCTCAGAAACCTCTGAGTGAACTATACTGAACAAAAATATAAACGTAACATGCAACAATTTCAAATATTTAACTGAATTATAGTTCATATGAGGAAATCAGTCAATTGAAATAAACTCATTAGGCCCTGATCTATGGATTTCACATGACTGGGAATACAGATATGCATCTGTTGGTCACAGATACCTTAAAAGAAATGGGCCTCACAATTGGCCTCAGGATCTCATCACGGTATTTCTGTGCATTAAAATGGCCATCGATAAAATGCAATTGTGTTCGTTGTCCGTAGCTTATGCCTGCCCATACCATAACCCCACCGCCATCATGGGTCACTCTGTTCACAACGTCAGCAAACCGCTCGCGCACATGATGCCATACACGTGGTCTGCGGTTGTGAGGCCGGTTGGACGTACTGACAAATTCTCTGAAACGATGTTGGAGGCGGCTTATGGTAGAGAAATGAACATAAAATAATCTGGCAACAGCTCTGGTGGACATTCCTGCAGTCAGCATGCCAATTGCAAGCTCCCTCAAAACTTGGGACATCTGTGGCATTGTGTTGTGTGACAAAACTGCACATTTTAGAATAATCATGCTGTTTAATCAGCTTCTTGATATGCCACACCTGTCAGGTGGATGGATTATCTTGGCAAAAGAGAAATGCTTACTAACAGCATTTTTGAGAAATAAGCTTTTTGTACGTATGGAACATTTCTGGGATCTTTTATTTCAGCTCATGAAATATGGGACCAATACTTTACATTTACATTACATTTACATTTACGTCATTTAGCAGACGCTCTTATCCAGAGCGACTTACAAATAGGTGCATTCACCTTATAGCCAGTGGGATAACCACTTTACAATGTTTTTTTTTCTTTTTTTCTTGTTTTTTTTTTGGGGGGGGGGGTAGAAGGATTACTTTATCCTATCCCAGGTATTCCTTAAAGAGGTGGGGTTTCAAATGTCTCCGGAAGGTGGTGAGTGACTCCGCTGTCCTGGCATCGTGAGGGAGCTTGTTCCACCATTGGGGTGCCAGAGCAGCGAACAGTTTTGACTGGGCTGAGCGGGAACTATGCTTCCGCAGAGGTAGGGGAGCCAGCAGGCCAGAGGTGGATGAACGCAGTGCCCTCGTTTGGGTGTAGGGACTGATCAGAGCCTGAAGGTACGGAGGTGCCGTTCCCCTCACAGCTCCGTAGGCAAGCACCATGGTCTTGTAGCAGATGCGAGCTTCAACTGGAAGCCAGTGGAGTGTGCGGAGGAGCGGGGTGACGTGAGAGAACTTGGGAAGGTTGAACACCAGACGGGCTGCGGCATTCTGGATGAGTTGTAGGGGTTTAATGGCACAGGCAGGGAGCCCAGCCAACAGCGAGTTGCAGTAATCCAGACGGGAGATGACAAGTGCCTGGATTAGGACCTGTGCCGCTTCCTGTGTAAGGCAGGGTCGTACTCTCAGAATGTTGTAGAGCATGAACCTACAGGATCGGGTCACCGCCTTGATGTTAGCGGAGAACGACAGGGTGTTGTCCAGGGTCACGCCAAGGCTCTTCGCACTCTGGGAAGAGGACACAACGGAGTTGTCAACCGTGATGGCGAGATCATGGAACGGGCAGTCCTTCCCCGGGAGGAAGAGCAGCTCCGTCTTTGCGTTTATATTTTTGTTCAGTGTAGCTATCCCTTTAAGGATAGTGTTTTTTTCATTGGACTTGAAATAGCCACCAAGTAACCTCCAGAGTGACCAAATGTCACATCTTACACAATGTCCCCCACTCCCTGCCTGCCCTGAAGTGACACAGGGTTGACACAGTCCTGTCTGAGGGTTGGGTTGATAGTGTGTCACAGCACGTCTGTGTAGAATGTCATAGCAACTTGTCTGGGACAACCACACACACACATTGCCCACGTTTCTCTCGCTCTCACCCTTCTCTCTTTACTTCATCTCTGGCACACACACCTCCCTGCCTCAGTCTTCTTCCCATCTGTTTCAGGTCACCTTCCATCCTCCCTTCCTCTCCTCTCTCTCTCCAGGCTGTACCAGTGAAGCTGTCCCTGGATGCTTTGTTGCAGATGTCCAGTTGTCAGGTGCAGGACACCATGAGACGGCTGGGCTCCAACCCAGAGGAGTGCTCTCGACTCACCGCTGCCCTCTCCTGCCTGAAGAGTGCCACTGAGACAGGTCAGTCACACCATTATGTTCTTTTTCTGTCATTAATAACTGTGCTTATTGATGCTGTGTGCTCTGTAGTTGAGTACTGTTTGTAACTCTAACCTCTGACCTCTGCTTTAGGTGGGGACGTCAGGGAAGACACAGGAACCTGGATATCAGAGTCACCCCGCCATGACAGTAACACTTTACCTCCTCCGGACCGTCGCCCCTCCACCCCCGCCACACTACCCCGTGGCTCCATCCTCAGTCCCCACACCCATGCCCGTTCTGTCTCTGTGACTGTTGTACCCAGTGTGGACGATAAGGGGCATCAAGTCTACACAGGCGACATGTCTGACGTTTTCCCCTCCTCGCCGCTGCTCCTGTCCAATTCCCCTCCCTCCAAGAGACGCACCAAGCACCCCCCACGTACGCCCCCGCCCCTTTCCCGAAAGCTGCTGCAACTCCCCTTCAACATCACCCTCACAAGCAGCAAGAGCGACGAGTCACAACTGGCCAATCGCATTGAAGAGCCAGTGCCCAACAACAAGTGGGTTTCTCTATTCTTTCTTCTGAAATTAATTATGGCAGCCATTTTGCTGTTTTCCTTTGTTGATTGAACTAGCTATTTTGTGTTTTCTCTGTTGATTATGAGTGGCCATTTTCATCGCAAGTGTGGGTGTTTGAGTCAAAACCTATGGAATGAGTTGCTTTCTGTGTGAATGATGTGTCTGTTCTCTGAGTGACCCACACAGCTAACCCTCTCTCTGTTCTGCAGGGGTGGGAAGAAGAACAAGCTGCTCCTGAACGTGCACATCAACAGTAGCAGTGGGAACGGGTGTGAAGACTCTGCACGCACCCCTGGCCCGGCAACCGCCCCCTACACCCTCCCAGGCACCCCTACGCTGCTGGAGCGTGAGTCCTGATGCCCCAGTGGAACCTGGGAACTCTGCTTTTCTGCGTTTCCCTCTCTCTCTTTTCCTCCCTTTCTGTTTCCCTCATAATCAATTAGAACTCCATCACTTTTCTCCTCTCTTTCTGTCTCCCACTGTTTGTTTCTCTCTCTCTCTTCCCCCGCCTCCCTCTTCCTATCTCTTGTCCTCTGTTCCCTTTTCTGTCTAGCTCCTCTCACACTCCCTCTCTCTCATTTCCTTCCAGATAACCTGGCATTGTACCGGGGGTCTCCACAGATAATGAGGAGAGATATCGGCCTCTCTGTAACACACAGGTAGGACACATCATCATCATGCTTACGTATATATTGTTTAAGCTCTAGAGGCCCGATGGGTCTTAGTGGGGTATGTGAAAAAAAATACATTCCCGGTTTTGAGCTCAGCGTTCTACCTTGGCGCAGACCCCAAACATTTCTTGCATCGGTCTGGTGAGAATGGCGCCTCAAGAATCTTAGAATTTGAGTTATGCAGACACTCAGTTAGATCCAGTGTTAATCTGACTGGAAAGTGTGTATTTATTCATTTTGATCTTGCGTAAAAGTTTTGGGAAAAGAGATACCAGATTCCAATGAAAACCATTTGGGATCTGGCAGAATTCCAACACATAAACTTCTCGGGAACATTCTAGTTTGTCCACTACCCAGTAGGCAACTCCAACATTAGAAGTTGTGATATAAGTGAAATATATTAATGTTTTGCTTCTCTCTCTCCTTCTAAGGTTTTCAACCAAATCCTGGCTCTCACAGACATGCCAGGTGTGTCATAGGAACATGATGTTTGGTGTTAAGTGCAAACACTGCAAGTAAGAAGAAGCCTTCTGTACAGTGCATTCGGAAAGTATTCAGACCACTTGACTTTTTCCACATTTGGTTACGTTACAGCCTTATTCTAAAATAGATTAAATTAAATGTTTTCCTCATCAATCTACACACAATACCCCATAATGACAAAGTGAAAACAGGTTTTTATACACTTTTGCAAATTTATAAAAAATAAAAAACAGAAATACCTTATTTACATAAGTATTCAGCCCCTTTGCTATGAGACTCGAAATTGAGCTCAGGTGCATCCTGTTTCCATTGATCATCCTTGAGATGTTTCTACAACTTGATTGGAGTCCACCTGTGGTAAATTCAATTGATTGGACATGAATTGAAAAGGCACACACCTGTCTATATAAAGGTCCCACAGTTGACAGTGAATGTCAGAGCAAATACCAAGCCATGCCACAGGATTGTGTCGAGGCACAGATCTGGGGAAGGGTACCAAAACATTTCTGCAGCATTGAAGGTCCCCAAGAACACAGTGGCCTCCATCATTCTTAAATGGAAGAAGTTTGGAACCACCAAGACTCTTCCTAGAGCTGGCTTCCTGGCCAAACTGAGCAATTGGGGGAGAATGAATTTGTCAGGGAGGTGACACTCTGACAGAGCTCCAGAGTTCCTCTGTAGAGATGGGAGAACCTTCCAGAAGGACAACCATCTCTGCAGCACTCCACCAATCAGGCCTTTTTGGTAGAGTGGCCAGGCGGAAGCCACTCCCTCAGTAAAACGAGGGCATTGCGTTCATCCACCTCTGGCCTGCTGGCTCCCCTTCCTCTGCGGAAGCATAGTTCCCGCTCAGCCCAGTCAAAACTGTTCGCTGCTCTGGCACCCCAATGGTGGAACAAGCTCCCTCACGACGCCAGGACAGCGGAGTCACTCACCACCTTCCGGAGACATTTGAAACCCCACCTCTTTAAGGAATACCTGGGATAGGATAAAGCAATCCTTCTACCCCCCCCCCACACACACAGCGGAGTCGCTCACCACCTTCCGGAGACATTTGAAACCCCACCTCTTTAAGGAATACCTGGGATAGGATCAAGTAATCCTTCTGCCCCCCCCCCCCCCCCCCACACACACACACACACAGCGGAGTCGCTCACCACCTTCCGGAGACATTTGAAACCCCACCTCTTTAAGGAATACCTGGGATAGGATAAAGTAATCCTTCTACCCCCCCCCCCCCCCCCCCACCCCACCCCACAGCGGAGTCACTCACCACCTTCCGTAGACATTTGAAACCCCACCTCTTTAAGGAATACCTGGGATAGGATAAAGTAATCCTTCTACCCCCCCCCCCCCCCACACACAGCGGAGTCGCTCACCACCTTCCGGAGACATTTGAAACCCCACCTCTTTAAGGAATACCTGGGATAGGATAAAGTAATCCTTCTACCCCCCCCCCAAAAAAAAAAATTGTAAAGTGGTTATCCCACTGGCTATAGGGTGAATGCATCAATTTGTGAGTCGCTCTGGACTAGAGCGTCTGCTAAATGACGTAAATGTGCCCTTGAGCAAGGCACTTAACCCTAATTGCTCCTGTAAGTCGCTCTGGATAAGAGCGTCTGCTAAATGACTAAAATGTAAATGTAAATGTAAAAGGCACATGACAGCCCGCTTGGAGTTTGCCAAAAGGCACCTAAAGGACTCTCAGAACATGAGAAACAAGATTCTCTGGTCTGATGAAAACAAGAGTAAAGTCTTTGGCCTGAATGCCAAGCGTCACGTCTGGAGGAAACCTTGCACCATCCCTACGGTGAAGCATGGTGTGGCAGCATCATGCTGTGGGGATGCTTTTCAGTGGCAGGGACTGGGAGACTAGTCAGGATCGAGGGAAAGATGAATGGAGCAAAGTACAGAGAGAGATCCTTCATGAAAACCTGCTCCAGAGCGCTCAGGACCTCAGACTGGGGCGAAGGTTCACCTTCCAACAGAACAATGACCCTAAGCACACAGCTAAAACAACGCAGGAGTGGCTTCGGGACAAGTCTCTGAATGTCCTTGAGTGGCCCAGCCAGAGCCTGGACTTGAACCCGATCGAACATCTCTGGAGAGACCTGAAAATATGACGCTCCCCATCCAACCTGACAGAGCTTGAGAGGATCTGTAGAGAATAATGAGAGAAACTCCCCAAATACAGGTGTGCTAAGCTTGTAGCATCATACCCAAGAAGACTCGAGGCTGTAATCGCTGCCAAAGCTGTTTCAGCTAAGTACTGAGTAAAGGGTTTGAATACTTAGGTAAATGTGTTATTTCCGTTTTTCTAAAAAACAGTTTTTGCTTTATGGCATTATGGGCTATTGTGTGTAGATTGAGGGGAAAAAAACAATTTAATCCATTTTAGAATAAGACTAACGTATCAAAATGTGGAAAAAGTCAAGGTGTCTGAATACTTTCCGAATGCACTGTACATCTCCGCTTTTATTTGTTCACAAGTCAGTCTCTGCTCCTCTGCGAACTACTGTCTCCTCTGCTTCCAGGTTAAAGTGCCATAACAAATGTACCAAAGAAGCCCTTCCCTGCAGGATATCTTTTCTACCATGTAAGCCCTGGTCTATTCTTGCATACAAAATGACAAAAATGCACAGTGTAATTATCCTTTTCCCAATACATCCCAAGAATGTCAATGGAGGATTGAATAATTGTTCCCTTATATTTCAGTCCCGCAAATCCGCCGGGCAGAATCTGTACCGTCCGATATCAATAATCAAATTGACCGTACGGCAGAGTTACCAATCCAGTTTGGCACTTTACCTAAGGTGCTAACCAAAAAGGTAGAAAAAAGTGTTTTAGCATACATCTACATTTACGTCATTTAGCAGACGCTCTTATCCAGAGCGACTTACAAATTGGTGCATTCACCTTATAGCCAGTGGGATAACCACTTTACAATGTGTTTTTTATTTTTTTATTTTTTTTTGCGGGGGGGGGGGTTGGGGTAAGGGAGGGGTAGAAGGATTACTTTATCCTATCCCAGCATACATGTATGCATGTGTATTAATAGTAAAGTTACCATACATGGAACCTCTAATTTGTCCTGAACCTTAATTTATGAAACCTTTCTGTTGAAAACCCTCTTTCAGGACTACCCTCCCATGCTGAGCCAAATGGATTCCAGCAGTAACCCCTCCTCCACCACTTCCTCTACGCCCTCCTCGCCCACCCCCTTCCAGCAGAGCAACCCCCCCAGCGTCACCGCCACACCGCCCCCCAATCCCTCGCCCGGACCCCAGGGGCCCCGAGACAGCCGCTTCCACTTCCCAGGTCCTCACAATGACAGGCCCTTACAGGCCCAAGCACTCTCTAGATTCCTACTCTGTTCCTCTCACAACACTAAACTCCAAATCTACCCTAAGCCAGTAATAGCACACCTCTAATTATATTCAAATTCTTAAATCGCTCTTAATTTGCTCTTTTACCACTAATCATATAATATATCCTATTATAACATCTCCTTAACTGCTTGTGGCTTGTCTAGGCTTGTCTAACCCAATCATATCGCTCTCTCGTCTCCGTTTTCCTCTGCTGGTGGTTTCTCCTCTTGTCCTTTAGCTGGCTGTTATTTACAACCTAGACAACAGTTTTTCTTCCCTGGTGAGTTAACACCGCTCCTTCCCTGTGTGTCCTATAGTCCCGCCCTACTCGTACAGTACCGGGCCCTTTTCATGTTCTCTCTCTCCCCATGCTGATGGAAGTGGCCTGAGTTGATGCTTTGCTGCAGTGGCTTACTATGACTCATGCTATGTTGTGGGAGGGTTCATGGGGGTGGGGGGGGGGGTCACCTTGGGCATGGCTGCAATGACATGTGTTGTCTTCTGCCACTAGCTTATGACAAGCTTTTAGCAGAGCCGTAATATTACATGCTGATAGCTTTGGCTTTTACAGTGCAGGCCTGCCCTCTGGGGGACAAAGAGGTGAACTGACTGACTGTGCTGCTTGGCGCTGTGTATGGTTTGACAGAGTTAGAGGCAGCTATCACAATTTAGAAGATATATGCTCTGAAGTGCAGTGAAGATAGATTGGCTTAGTCACATAATAGTTTTACTATGAATCAGATATTTGTGTTCCTTTGCTCAACATCCTCATTGTCCCACACACAGACACTTCCTCTTCAACTTTTCCTGTTGGACTACACTCTGAAGGATACCATGGCACTGGGTAAGAGGCAACAGCTTTTAATGACAAGGTCACTGTAGAGTCTGAGTAAAGACCATTTAAAATGCTGTGGTTTTTCACCCACATTGTCTACTGTAAGTCCACCATAGTTTCTGCTAGACAGGGTTAGGTTAAAGTTAGGAACCCCTGTTTATGGTGATGTTTGTCCCCACAGAGACACACAGCAACTGGCCCAATCAGAACCTCCATCTCAGGGACAGGAAGGAGGAGCGGTGAGTACCCAAAATCCCCAGCGGCAGGAATATAATAATAATAAGAAGAAGAATAATAATAATAATAATAATAAATTACATTTGTAAAGCGCTTTTCATTATACAACAATAATCTCAAAGTGCATATAATTTAATAGAAAATAGATAAATAGTAAAAAAACATATGTACAGTGCATTTGGAAAGTATTCAGACCCCTTTGACTTTTTCCACATTTTGTTAAGTTACAGCCTTATTCTAAAATGGATTAAATAACAACATTTCCTCATCAATCTACACACAGTACCCCATAATGAGAAAGCGAAAACAGTTTTTGTAGAAATGTGTGCTAATTTATTAAAAATATAAAACATAAATACCTTATTTACATAAGTATTCAGACCCTTTGCTATGAGACTCAAAATGTTGCTCAGGTGCATCCTGTTTCCATTGATCATCCTTGAGATGTTTCTACAACTTGATTGGAGTCCACCTGTGGTAAATTAAATTGATTGGACATGATTTGGAAAGGCACATACCTTTTTATATAAAGGTCCAACAGTTGACAGTGCATGTCGTAGAATTGTCCGTAGAGCTCCGAGACAGGATTGTATCAAGGCACAGATCTGGGGAAGGGTACCAAAACATTTCTGCAGCATTGAAGGTCCCCAAGAACACAGTGACCTCCATCATTCTTAAATGGAAGAAGTTTGGAACCACCAAGACTCTTCCTAGAGCTGGCCGCCCGGCCAAACTGCGCAATCGGGGGAGAAGGGCCTTGGTCAGGGAGGTGACCAAGAACTCGATGGTCACTCTGACAGAGCTCTAGATTTCCTCTTTGGAGATGGGAGAACCTTCCAGAAGGACAACCATCTCTGCAGCACTCCACCAAATCAGGCCTTTTTGGTAAATTGGCCAGACGGAAGCCACTCCTCAGTAAAAGGCACATGACAGCCTGCTTGGAGTTTGCCAAAAGGCACCTAAAGACTCTCAGACCATGAGAAACAAGATTCCCTGGTCTGATGAAAACAAGATCGAACTCTTTGGCCTGAATGCCAAGCGTCACGTCTGGAGGAAACATTGCACCATCCCTACGGTGAAGCATGGTGGTGGCAGCATCATGCTGTGGGGATGTTTTTCTGCAGCAGGGACTGGGAGACTAGTCAGGATCGAGGGAAAGATGAACGGAGCAAAGTACAGAGAGATCCTTGATGAAAACCTGTTCCAGAGCGCTCAGGACCTCAGACTGGGGCGAAGGTTCACCTTCCAACAGGACAATGACCCTAAGCACACAGCCAAGACAACGCAGGAGTGGCTTCGGGACAAGTCTCTGAATGTCCTTGAGTGGCCCAATCAGAGCCCGGACTTGAACCCGACCTAACATCTATGCAGAGACCTGAAAATAGCTAGGCAGCAACGCTTCCTATCCAACCTGACAGAGCTTGAGAGGATTTGCAGAGAAGAATGGGAGAAACTCCCCAAATACAGGTGCGCCAAGCTTGTAGCGTCATACCCAAGAAGACTCAAGGCTGTAATCACTGCCAAAGGTGCTTCAACAAAGTACTGAGTAAAGGGTCTGAATACTTATGTAAATGTGATGTTTTTTATTATTAATAAATTGGTGTGTAGATTGATGATTAAGAAAACAATTAATTTAATCAATTTTAGAATAAGGCTGTAACATAACAAAATGTGGAAAAAGTCAAGGTGACTGAAAACTTTCTGAATGCACTGTATATCTAACCATACCATGAAAGCAACAATCAAAGTCTAGGAGAAGGGTAGGCCAGCTGATAGAGATGAGTCTTAAGGCCTGCTTTAAAAGCCCCAACAGTCTGAACAGCCTTGAGATTATCGGGGAGGGAGTTCCATAGGCATGGTGCGTGGGAGGAAAAGGCACGGTCCCCCATTGTGCGGAGCCTGGTCCTGGGGGCATGGAGGAGTTTAGCGTGGCTTGAACGTAGGGGGCGTGGAGGTTCATGGGGGAGAGTAGGTCTGACAGGTAGGTGGGTCAGATGCCATTTACGTTTTTTCAGACAAGGAGGAGAATGTTAAAGTCAATTCTTTGAGGAACAGGTAGCCAATGGAGATCCGCAAATACTTTTTTGTTGGTGTCAGAATCCTTGCAGCACTGTTTTGGATGAGCTGTAATTGATTCATTGAATTTGTAGGCAGGCCCCCAAGTACTGCATTCCCATAATCAATTCTGGAGAAAATGAATGCATGGATTAGTTTTTCTGCATCAGATGTGGTGAGAGAGGGTCTTAGGCGGGAGATGTTCTTCAGCTGAAAGAATGGCGTTTTACAAACTTGACTAATGTGGGCATTGAAGGAGAGAGCAGGGACGAATTTCACACCCAAATTATTGATGACCGAGGAGAGGGGGATGATGTGGCCAAGTATGCTGCAGGAGTTGGTGATCTACTGGGGGATGCCTATCAGCATTGCCTCTGCCTTGTTGCTGTTGAGTTGGAGGAAGTTGGTCTGCATCCAAGATTTGCCCTCTCCAGACGGTTGGACAATGTTGACAGAGGAGATGTTGTATCAGGCTTTGTTTAAATGTACACCTGTGTGTCGTCTGCGTAGCAGTGGAATTGGATGCTGTGCTGTCTGAAGATCTGGCCAAGTGGGAGCATGTAGAGTAGGAAGAGGACAGGTCCTAACACCTAACACTGCAGGCTATGCTGGACTTCTCTGATCTTGCCTCACTGAGTGAGGGTGATGTACTGCATGCGGTTAGAGAGGTAGGAGTTAAACCAGTTTAGGGCAGTCTCACCGATGGCAGTGTTCTCTCTGAGGTGCTGTAGTAGAATGGTGTGATCTACTGTGTCAAAAGCAGCAGTGAGGTCCAGAAGAATCAAGATGAGCAGGTCATTTACAACCTTCACCAGGGCTGTCTCAGTACTGTGCATAGGCCTAAAGCCAGACTGGAGAGCTTCATAAAGCTGGTTAGCACTGAGGTGTGAGTGAAGCTAAGTTACCACTATCTTCTCCAGGACTTTAGATACAGTTGAAGTCGGAAGTTTACATACACTTAGGTTGGAGTCATTAAAACTTGTTTTTCAACCACTCCACAAATTTCTTGTTAACAAAATATTGTTTAGGCAAGACGGTTAGGACATCTACTTTGTGCACGACACAAGTAATTTTTCTAACAATTGTTTACAGACAGATTATTTCACTTATAATTCACTGTATCAAAATTCCAGTGGGTCAGAAGTTTACATACACTAAGTTGACTGTGCCTTTAAACAGCTTGGAAAATTCCAGAAAATGATGTCATGGCTTTAGAAGCTTCTGATAGGCTAATTGACATCATTTGAGTCAATTGGAGGTGTACCTGTGGATGTATTTCAAGGCCTACCTTCAAATTCAGTGCATCTTTGCTTGACATCATGGGAAAATCAAAAGAAATCAGCCAAGACCTCAGAAAAAGAATTGTAGACCTCCACAAGTCTGGTTCATCCTTGGGAGCAATTTCCAAACGCCTGAAGGTACCACGTTCATCTGTACAAACAATAGTACGCAAGTATAAACACAGTGGGACCATGCAGCCGTCATACAGCTTAGGAAGGAGACGCGTTCTGTCTCCTAGAGATTAACGTACTTTGGTGCGAAAAGTGCAAATCAATCCCAGAACAACAGCAAAGGACCTTGTGAAGATGCTGGAGGAAACAGGTACAAAAGTATCTATGTCCACAGTAAAACGAGTCCTATATCGACATAACCTGAAAGGCCGCTCAGCAAGGAAGAAGCCACTGCTCCAAAACCGCCATAAAAAAGCCAGACTACGGTTTGCAACTGCACATTGGGACAAAGATCGTACTTTTTGGAGAAATGTCCTCTGGTCTGATGAAACAAAAATAGAACTGTTTGGACATAATGACCATCGTTATGTTTGGAGGAAAAAGGGGGTGGCTTGCAAGCCGAAGAACACCATCCCAACCGTGAAGCACGGGGGTGGCAGCATCATGCTGTGGGGTGCTTTGCTGCAGGAGGGACTGGTGCACTTCACAAAATAGATGGAGTCATGAGGAAGGAAAATTATGTGGATATATTGAAGCAACATCTCAAGACATCAGTCAGGAAGTTAAAGCTTGGTCGCAAATGGGTCTTCCAAATGGACAATGACCCCAAGCATACTTCCAAAGATGTGGCAAAATGGCATAAGGACAACAAAGTCAAGGTATCTCAATCCTATAGAAAATGTGTGGGCAGAACTGAAAAAGCGTGTGTGAGCAAGGAGGCCTACAAACCTGACTCAGTTACACCAGCTCTGTCAGGAGGAATGGGTCAAAATTCACCCAACTTATTGTGGGAAGGCTACCCAAAACGTTTGACCCAAGTTAAACAATTTAAAGGCAATGCTACCAAATATTAATTGAGTGTATGTAAACTTCTGACCCACTGGGAATGTGATGAAAGAAATAAAAGCTGAAATATATCATTCTCTCTACTATTATTCTGACATTTCACATTCTTAAAATAAAGTGGTGATCCTAACTGACCTAAGACAGGGAATTTTTACAAGGATTAAATGTCAGGAATTGTGAAAAACTGAGTTTAAATGTATTTGGCTAAGGTGTATGTAAACTTCCGACTTTAACTGTAGAAAAGGGAGGTTGGAAATAGGCCTGTAGTTAGAGAGGTCTTGATCAAGGAATGGTTTCTTGAGCAAGGGGGTGATTGCAGCGATGTTGAACAGTGACGGCACCTGCCCAGTGTGGAGAGAATTGTTGAACAGGTTGAGAGCAACTGAGCATGTTTTGAACAGTGATGTTACAATAGGGTCGTGGGGGCCACTGGTAGTCTTCCTTTTTTAGATGATTTCTAACACAGCAGCAGGTGAGACCAGAGCTAAATCACTTAGAGGAGGGTCAGATATGGGTTGTGGGGTAGGAGCCAGAGTGGGGTTGAGGTTGGAGGATACAATGTTCTGTCGAATGGTGTTGATTTTAGCCTTGAAGAACTCAGCAAAATCGGTTGCATTGTTCTGTACTTCCTGAAGAAGTGAAAGAGAAGACGGTTAAATTTTTTTGCAATGGTGAAACCACCTAGCAGCATAACCTGATCAAGTGATAGTTCTCTAGTCTAGTTAATTATGTTGTGCAATGATACTGACATGATCATTTTACCATATAGAAAACTTAAAAGATTGGTTCTCTGTTTTGGTTTCAGTTGTTATTCCAATCTCTCTACCTGTGCTGTTGTGTGCAAATAAATCAGCTAAAAAATCGAATAGACTTCTGAAACTGATTTCCAGAAATCTGCAATTGATTGAATACCGGCCTAAGTGTATGTTTTGTTTGGATTGACATGACACAATTTGTGCATGCTTTGTCTCTGTGTATTCAGGAAGAGGAGGCAGAAGAGGAGGAATACCCAGGAGAGGAGGATGAGGGAAACAGTAGCAGGGAGGGCAGAGAGAAGGGCCACTCAAACGGAGAGTGTGATGGGGACGAGCTAGAGGACCTTCCCAGCTACCGGGGCCGGATGGCCGGGGGCCGATGGAAGGGGCCCATCTCCCGTAAGGCCAGCCAGACCAGTGTGTACCTGCAGGAGTGGGACATCCCCTACGAGCAGCTGGAGCTGGGGGAGCTCATTGGCAAGGTGAATGACTACAGCTTTACATAGTGCTAAATATACACTCAGTGGTCAGTTTATTAGGTACACCACCTCATTCATGAAAATGGTTAGCTCCTACAGACAGTGAGTCACGTGGCCGTGGCTTGCTATATAACGCAGGCAGACAGGCATCGAGTATATCTACAAATAGGTGGGGTAGTAGGGCTCATATTCAAAGTGAATTGGTATCTGCATGTCTCCTTTAAAAATAAAGGCCAATGGACTCAATTAGAGTTCCTTGAACAGGAACAGAAAAAAATAGGCTACAAGGTAGCTAATAACACAAGTACCCATACTGTACCTCCCTATTCCAGGGCCGTTGGGGGAAGGTGCATAAGGGGCGCTGGCATGGAGAGGTGGCCATCCGGCTGCTGGAGATAGATGGTAATAACCAGGACCACCTGAAGCTGTTTAAGAAGGAGGTGATGAACTACAGACAGACCCGCCACGAGAACGTGGTCCTCTTCATGGGGGCCTGCATGGCCCCACCACACCTCGCCATCATCACCAGGTTAGGGGGAGGGAAGGGGAAAAGGGAGGTGGGGATGGTTAGAGGAGTTGAGTAGGGAAAAGCTGGAACCCGTGAATCAATCTATGAGAGGTATTAAATGTGTCTTGGTTTAACAGACGAGGAAACCAGGAAAGGCTTTGTTTTGAAAAACGAGTTGATCCAGTGTTATATTTTTACTCCCTTTCCCCCCTGACATTTCCTCTTGTTTCTTTCAGTTTCTGCAAAGGTCGGACACTATTCTCTGTTGTAAGAGATGCCAAAAACACGCTAGACATCAACAAGACAAGGCAGATCGCTCAGGAAATTGTTAAGGTGTGGTACTACTCGACTTCTCTTGAATTGTAAGTAGCTTACATTTCCTTTCACTGAAAGAGACTCAACTCTGACCTCTTCCTCAGGGTATGGGCTACCTTCATGCTAAAGGAATCGTTCACAAGGACCTGAAGTCCAAGAATGTGTTCTATGACACAAACAAAGTGGTAATCACAGACTTTGGTCTTTTTGGAATATCCGGAGTGGTACAAGAGTACCACAAGAGGTAAGCAAAAACACACTTTTTAAAAAGTTAAACACTGAGGAGTATACTTCTACACCTTTTGAGTCCATCTGTGGGTGTCTGTTTGTGTGTCTGGATCTGTGTCTGTGTGTGTGTCCAGGCGAGAGAACGAGCTGAGGCTCCCTCATGGCTGGATCTACTACCTGGCCCCTGAGGTCGTCCGCAGGATGGGCACTGGGAACCATGAGGACCGCCTGCCTTTCTCCAACACTGCAGACGTCTACGCCTTTGGGTGCACACCACTTATCTTACATCCTGCCATAATAATACTGCATTTACTTAAATATAGGACATCTGAATGCTTTTAGAAAATTTAGCTCAAAACAAACAATACTGGATTTTTGGGGAGACATACAGTGGGGAGAACAAGTATTTGATACACTGCCGATTTTGCAGGTTTTCCTACTTACAAAGCATCTAGAGGTCTGTAATTTTTATCATAGGTACACTTCAACTGTGAGAGACGTAATCTAAAACAAAAATCCAGAAAATCACATTGTATGATTTTAAAGTAATTCATTTGCATTTTATTGCATGACATAAGTATTTGATCACCTATCAACCAGTAAGAATTCCGGCTCTCACAGACCTGTTAGTTTTTCTTTAAGAAGCCCTCCTGTTCTCCACTCATTACCTGTATTAACTGCACCTGTTTGAACTCGTTACCTGTATAAAAGACACCTGTCCACACACTCAATCAAACAGACTCCAACCTCTCCACAATGGCCAAGACCAGAGAGCTGTGTAAGGACATCAGGGATAAAATTGTAGACCTGCACAAGGCTGGGATGGGCTACAGGACAATAGGCAAGCAGCTTGGTGAGAAGGCAACAACTGTTGGTGCAATTATTAGAAAAAGGAAGAAGTTCAAGATGACGGTCACTCACCCTCGGTCTGGGGCTCCATGCAAGATCTCACCTCGTGGGGCATCAATGATCATGAGGAAGGTGAGGGATCAGCCCAGAACTACACGGCAGGACCTGGTCAATGACCTGAAGAGAGCTGGGACCACATTCTCAAAGAAAACCATTAGTAACACACTACGCCGTCATGGATTAAAATCCTGCAGCGCACGCAAGGTCCCCCTGCTCAAGCCAGCGCATGTCCAGTGTCCATGTCTGAAGTTTGCCAATGACCATCTGGATGATCCAGAGGAGGAATGGGAGAAGGTCATGTGGTCTGATGAGACAAAAATAGAGCTTTTTGGTCTAAACTCCACTCGCCATGTTTGGAGGAAGAAGAACGATGAGTACAACCCCAAGAACACCGTCCCAACCGTGAAGCATGGAAGTGGAAACATCATTCTTTGGGGATGCTTTTCTGCAAAGGGGACAGGACGACTGCACCGTATTGAGGGGAGGATGGATGGGGCCATGTATCGCGAGATCTTGGCCAACAACCTCCTTCCCTCAGTAAGAGCATTGAAGTGGCCTAGCCAGTCTCCAGACCTGAACCCAATAGAACATCTTTGGAGGGAGCTGAAAGTCCGTATTGCCCAGCAACAGCCCCGAAACCTGAAGGATCTGGAGAAGGTCTGTATGGAGGAGTGGGCCAAAATCCCTGCTGCAGTGTGTGCAAACCTGGTCAAGACCTACAGGAAACGTATGATCTCTGTAATTGCAAACAAAGGTTTCTGTACCAAATATTAAGTTCTGCTTTTCTGATGTATCAAATACTTATGTCATGCAATAAAATGCAAATGAATTACTTAAAAATCATACAATGTGATTTTCTAGATTTTTGTTTTAGATTCCGTCTCTCACAGTTGAAGTGTACCTATGATAAAAATTACAGACCTCTACATGCTTTGTAAGTAGGAAAACCTGCAAAATCGGCAGTGTATCAAATACTTGTTCTCCCCACTGTACATTAATCGGTTGAAATGTGGCTCCCCATGAAATGAATGTGTGAGTAGGTGTATGCTGTTTGTATAAAGGGTTAGGACTGAGGGGCTAACATACAGTATATTTCAATCCCCAGCACCATTTGGTACGAGCTGCAGGCCCGTGGCTGGCCACTCACCAACCAGCCGGCAGAGGCCACCATCTGGCAGGTGGGCAGCGGAGAGGGCATCAAGAAGGTCCTGGCAAAGGTCAGCCTGGGAAAGGAGGTCACGGTAAGGTTAAAGGTCAAAAAGCAGTTTGCGACAGTGTGATGTCCTCTGGGAAGCTTAGTGTACTGTATTGACATGATAATAAACCAAACAATATTATTCTCAGTGTGCGAGTGATATCATAAAACAGACTGACACCAGTGCCAAAACCTTTGAATGGATTATTATCTACATTGTGTGTATAGCTATAATGATGGATGTAGGATTAGATAAATACCCCCCCCACCACCTGTCCTGTAGGAGATTCTGTCTGCCTGTTGGTCCTTCAAGCCGGAAGAGCGTCCCTCCTTCACCCAGCTGACTGACATGCTGGAGAAGCTGCCAAAGCTCAACCGCAGGCTCTCCCACCCAGGACACTTCTGGAAGTCAGCCGAGTATGTATCCTAAAGACCAGGATCCCATTCGAGATATACTGTATATACTCACTGTATATATTTATGATACTTCTCCTACGTCTATGGGGATGCCACTCTGATGGCTTTGGGTTCACTCATGGCTCACAATGTACCTGTTGATCCCTGTCCCTCCAGTGATGTCACATTGGATGGAGCCAGGAGAACATGGGGTGTTTGTATGAGTGTGTGAATAATGTGTTTATGGTGGAGGGGGGTAGCCCTCTGACAACCCTGGGCCTACTGTATGTTTTCTTGATTTAAATAACTAAAAGGGATGACTGTGATGCAAATCACCAGCTTTATACAGTGAGAAGAAATGTTGTCTTCAATAGAGAATCTTTGCTAAAAGATAGAAATGTGATCATTTTTAAGTAAAGGTTGAACAGGACAAAAGGTGAAATAGCCTGTTGAAACTGTTTGGTTTGTGACTGTTCATTTCAGAGCTGATTGTTTTGGTTCCCTAAATCTGTCCATGTTTTAAAAGAGAGGATACTTTATAATAGCACCACCCACTACCCTTCTCCCTGTCTCCATGCTGTCCATCTCTGTGGGCAGTGATTGGAGGCTTGAGTGTCCCACCTCTCCTGTGTCCCCCTTTCTGTGAATATTTCTGTCATACCTCTCTCTTGACATCTCTGTTTGGGTCTCACTCACTCCCTCCCTCCCTCTCGTCTTCTCTGGGTGCTGCTGCTCTCTCCTGGATGACCACTGACTGACTTCACCTGTTCCTGCTCCTCTTCACCCTCCCTGTCTCCCTTGGACCCCTCCTCCTCCTTCTCCACCTCCTCTTTACTGCCAACCCCCTCAAACCCCCTCCCCAACACCAATGTTTATTTCCCCATATTATTTTTTCCATCCTCCGTGCACATCTTCTCCTGTTGAATCATCCCTCCTCCGCTCCTCTCCTTGATCTGTCCCATCATCCTTCACTCCTTTCTCTCCGTGTGAAGGCCCTGGGTTCATCATCATTGCCTGCGGGACCATTGCAGTCAGGGCCTGCAGTCTCGCTGCCCCTACATATACAAATAACACATCTCTCAGTGGCTACTTGTGCTTATCAATCATCAGGAATAGCCTGTTTGGTATTAGATTCAGAGGAATGGACTACCCTGCAGAAGGACATCAACTGGTATCACAGCCAATAGAGTAACCAATATATAGAGTCATGTATCTTTGTCAACTTGCTTAATGTACCATAATGGGTTGTTTGTTAGTTTCTTGTTCTTGGACTAACTGCAGTTCATGTATTGACATTTTGGTAGTAGTAGTGGCTAATGCAAACAGTCTAGTCTAACCGCTTTCTTTAAATTCTCCTCTCTCACGCTCTCTTTCCCTCTCTCTCTCTCGCTCACTCTACAACTTAGGTTCTAGCATTCAGTATGCAAGAGGAAGTAATAATATGAGGTTCAATGTAAAATGTTGATTTGCCTCATATGCACTCTTTGTGTGCCTGTGTCAGCATGCCCTGTGTGTGTGTATAGGGACATGTGTGCATGCTTGTTTGATTGGTAGCTGAATGTAATGTGCTGGACATCCAGAGGTTAACCCTGTGAAAGACTGCAGTGATTGAATGTTAGCAGTGATAACAAAGAAATGTATCTGATATATACGTATATATAGAATTGTTTTATTTAATGTACAGATAACATTTATTTTACTATGTGTACAAAGTCTTTATATTACATTGTACGTTACATTATAGGTACTTCACATCTAATTATGTAGAGCTTTAAAACACTTTTTTCCCCCACAAACACTGTGTAAACAAATTGTACATTAAAGATGGGTTGGTGTTTTTTATGTCATAAGAATTTATATTTTTGTACAGATTGTGGCTACACTAAAAGTGTTTCTGGTTTCCTCAGTGAAAGCCAATAAAACTAAACTCAAGTAATTTGGTTCAGTGTCTTGTTTTGGAATGCTTACAACAGTTTGAATGTAATATAAGTTAGATCAAAAAAGGGATCACTTTACATTAAGGATTCAAGCAGCTAAATAACAAGCACACAATTTCTACTAGACACCATTTATACAGTTGATTTATTTCCAAGTGTTTGATTTGATTTAAAGGGGCAATCTGGGTTTCAAAACTTTGACCTCAAATATGTGTGTCACCTGACTCACCAGTTCCCAGGAGCAAGAGGAAATGCAGAGAACAGACATGTTCATGACTCCCATGATGACCGAGACAATGGTGGTCTTCTGGTGGTCCCAATACACTTCTGCTACCTATATGCAGGATTACATCAAAAAGTGTGTAGTGCAATATACAGTATGTGCAAAATGTCAGTACAAACGTAATACATGGTTATTTCTCTTCTAGAACATTTTGAGACAAATACAAATACATGTGTGTCTATTTAAGGCATTATTACTAAAACACCAAAATTAGAAAGATCCTCACCGAATCCAGGAGAGACAAATGTAAGTGTCTAAAGCAGGGTTCTTCAATTCCGGTCCTGGAGGGCCGAAACACTTCTGTTTTTTATTTCTACCTGGTAGTTAATTACACTCACCTGGTGTCCCAGGTCTGAATTAGCCCCTGATTAGAAGGAGAGGATGAAAAACAGAGGTGTTTCGGCCCTCCAGGACTGGAATTGAAGAACCCTGGTCTAAAGGACAGTGGTAGCTTACAGTTAGTTGTCTCGGTTTGAGGTGACAGTCGGGCAATTAATTAGGATATGGAATAAGAAATGATTAGAAATTAAAAAGGCGCCATTAGGATTACATTTTACATGGTGATGTTAGCGTGCGTGCGTGGAGACAAACTGACCTCTATACACAGCAAACTCTGTCTGTCCAACTCTGAGTCAACTTCGATAACGTCACCTGACTGTTGAGTGATTGCTGGTTAATTATTGAAAAAGCATAAAAATATATCGGCGCGCATCGTCTCTTGATAAGTTTATGTGTAGGCCTACCAATTAGGGCAAGACCGATATTGCGCAAATGCAGCAGATATATTTCGAGAGAGATAACGTTATTCCCTAGGGGAAAAAACTCAATTTAATCAGGGCATTGTAAACTAGGCTACATTGTAACTTCCTCCGCCGTCCCCTTCAATGCACGAAAAAACGAAACTAAACTTCTCTGAAATTCACTCAGAGGAGAGAGTTGAGCAACTGAGAAGACGCTTCGATTTACAGTGAGATTTGTCGAAATGGCATTTTATAACCAGGAGCCTTTTTATAATCCGGTACGTTTATTATAACCATTTATGTGATTTGTTGTGTTATTTAAAATGTAGGAGAGTTGGCCGTCTACTTACGGTCAAATATGGTAATCAAAATGCGCTCCCATCTGCTTCTCAGTAATATTATATTTTCACAGTTATAGTCTGCCTTTTTCTGTTCACAGATTTAATGCTAAAATCAATAGATCCATAGCTAGACATTCATAGTATGAATTCATGCTATGCTATTGTGCCAATTTAACATTTATGTTATAAGGCTACCTAGGCCTATTACCACACAAGCAGTTATAGTGGATGTATTAAAGAGGAAAGAGTCAATGGCCTCCATCCTACATAATAGTTGTTTTCATTTCATTTATCCATTCATATTCAATTCAGTTTATCATCAATGATTCTGCTCAATATCTGTCCCAGAGACTCCCTTTCACCGGCTCTATCCAAGGTGGGCTTCAGGAGGGGAAGACCATCACTATTACTGGGAGAGTTCACCATGGGGCGGACAGGTGGGTCACCACTCACCTATATAAGATTTGATAACACATTTCCTTATTCTGTCTTCGAGAGATTCAGTGGGTGATTTCCAGTCCAGATAATTCCTACTATACATTTTCTGCCCAGATTCAAAACTTTGGAGAACTGTTTAACATCTCTGGAACCACATGATCTCTCTCTCTCTCTCTTGCACTCTCACTTTCTCAGGTTCCATGTGAATTTGAAGTGTGGTTCTAGGGCAGGGGCCGACATTGCCCTTCACTTCAACCCACGCTATGACAGTCACCCTGGATATGTGGTGGCCAACACCTTGCAGCAGTCCAGATGGGGGACAGAGGAGCGAAAGCAGCAGTCCCCCTTCCAGCATGGCTCCGGCTTCAGCCTCGTGATCACCGTCCAGAGGGACGCCTTCCAGGTCACCCAAACCCTCCCCTATGATCGTATATGGAGGATACAGATGTAGGATCTTAATTTGAGCCAGTTTGTTACAGCAGGAAAATAATCCTGCAGCAACAGGAAATGTGAATTATTATAATTAATGGGCTTGATACATTTTTCGTTAGGGCAAATTAAGTCTGACATTTTTAAAGGGGAAATTACAAACAGAAGCCTTTTTAAACCTTGAATACACTTTGAATCTGCGCAGAAAAGTTAACATTTCCTGTAAGCAGGAAAATTCTCAGCAACAAAATAGTGATCAAATTAAGATCCTACATATGTACATTCCGACTACACAAGAACCTTTTCAGTCTGTGACTGTAAAAGATTATGCTTACAGAGCTCCCCCATGATTCCAATGAAGTCCGTGACTCATGATCTAACATGGTGGTTCACTCTTGTTTTCTTGAAATTATATGTTATGTATTGTATCTTTATTCTCTTTTTATCTATTTTACAGTGTGACTCTATTTATTCTAGTCTGTTTAGGAGTTAAAATGGATTTCAATTCATTGGCTGGAAAATAACTTAAATAGTTGTGAGTGACACTTGTTCTCTCATTCACTGTCCTCAGGTCAATAATGACTCTGCTCATGGTCGTTCTCTATTCTCTGTCTTCAGTTGAATGCGAATGGGAACCATTTCATGACCTTCAAGCACCGTATCCCGTTTTACGCCGTGGACACCATCTCAGTCGAGGGGAAAGTGGAGGTGACCTCCATCGCCTTTCAGAACCCTGCGGTGAGTAGTACCTAACATATTAGATGGACAGAGAATTTGAAGACAGTTCAACTGATATTAAGTGATGTAATGTCCTTCAGCCCGCCTTTCCTGCACAGCTAGGATTTCCGGCACAAGCTGGATTCCCTTATATGGGATTTCCGGCACAACCAGGATTACCTTATCCGGGATTTCCGGCACAACCAGGATTTCCAGCACAACCAGGATTTCCAGCACAACCAGGATTCCCTCCTCACCCGGGATTCCCTCCTCACCCGGGATTTCCTTCTCATCTGGGATTTCCCGCACAACCAGGACGTCCAGTGAGTTAATCTGGATCTGAATCAATAATGATAATTTATTGGCCAACCACTTCTTGGTTATCGGACTCATTTACATTTTTTTTGTCAGATCTGTGATTTGTATTCCTTTCACTGTCTTTCAGAGTCTCTAGATGTTGGTGCTCTTTCAGTCGACTTGGTTCGAACATCTCACTATGGGACATGCCCTCTTTTGTCGGTCATTGGTTAAAGCCTTATTCAATCACGCCTAACAGGCCAATCAGAGTTTTGTGGGTGTACACCCCCCGTGTCTATATAACACCCTGCACTGCTCTGGTTTCCTCATTCTTCACATCTTCATGAGTCTATCTGGTTACTTGCCTGTTAAGCAGTTACCACCCCACCACAGAGCGTTGAATGGCTTATTTTCAGTAAGTCTGCTAACTTCAGCAGTTAGCTGTTACCTCTGTTAGCTTGTTAGCAGTGATTTTTGTCGTTGGCTAGCTACAGTACACCTGTTGCCTGGCCTACACACAATTGCTGTTGTTAGCTAGCTAGCTCCACTGCTTTAGCATCCCGCTAAAAGCAAGTTCCCACAAATTTTAGCTAGTCACATCGCAATTGTAGCTAGTCACCTTCACACAGGAGATATCTAAGGTTCGCCTTTGAGGGCATAGCCTGCGACTATCTCACCTTACCGTTCGGTCTGTCCCTTGCCCCACTGACATTCACGAAGTGTGCCGAAGCTGCCCTAGCCCCCCTTCATACATTTTATATTTTAGTCATTTAGCAGACGCTCTTATCCAGAGCGACTTACAGTTAGTGAGTGCATACATTATTTTTATTTTATTTTTTTCATACTGGCCCCCCGTGGGAATCAAACCCACAACCCTGGCGTTGCAAGCGCCATGCTCTACCAACTGAGCTATATCCCTGCCGGCCATTCCCTCCCCTACCCTGGGCCAATTGTGCGCCGCCCCATGGGTCTCCCGGTCGCGGCCGGCTACGACAGAGCCTGGATTCCAACCAGGATATCTAGTGGCACAGCTAGCAATGCGATGCAGTGCCTTAGACCACTGCGCCACTCGGGAGATAAATGAGAGCGGCTTAAGAGTCCTGACGTACATCAACGACTGGTTGATCTGCACGGACACCCTGGCTCAGGCAGCGGAGCACACAGCCTAGCTGTTTGCTCTAGGCTTCAGGATAAATTGTGCCAAAAGCTCGCTCTTACCGACCCAGCAGAAAATATTTTTGGGATTGTCTCTGGACTCTGTAGCCTGTCGAGCATCCCTCACCATGGAGAGAGCGACAGATTTTCGCCACTGCCTCAGTGTTTTGCCCGGCAACATCAGTCACGTACTGGATGTGTCTGAGGCTTCTTGGGCTCATGACCTCCATGATTGTGGTAGTTCTGCTTGGTCTCCTCCTCATGAGAGGCTTCCAGCGTTGGGTGACCTCACTCCGCTTGGACCAGTCTCTCCCCACAGGCGCGTGCTTCTTTCTGCAAAGTGTCTATCGGCACTTCAATGCTGGAGAGACCATCCCTCTTGATGCGGGGCTGCCCTACTGGGAGAGTCTTCATGTGCAAAGTACAGACAACGGATGCATCACTACAGGGATGGGGGGGCAGTCCACGAAGGGCGTAAGGTGAACAGACTCTGAGTACAGCCCATATCAACATTCTCGAGCTCTACACTGTGTTACTAGCCCTTCCTACAGGGCCAACATGTCCTGGTCAGGTCGGACAATACGTCATGGTGGCGTATGTCAACCGCCAAGGAGGAACGCGCTCCTGTCAACTTCACTCTCTGGCGAGAGAGATCTTGCTATGGAGCAGCGAACATCTGTCTCTCAGAGCAATACATGTGCCAGGCAGACTAAACTCCGCCGTGGATTTACTGTTGCGGGGTAACCCCCAACCAGGGGAGTGGCGACTTCATCTCGAAGTCGTCAAGGAGGTGTGGGGGCATTACGGCAGGCCTGCTGTCGATCTGTACGCATCGCAGGACAACACGATCTATACGCATGAGATCACAATGCTCCTCTAGGCATGGACGTGCTGGCCCACAAGTGGCCAGACGTGCTTCTGTACGCCTTCCCTCCAGTGGGCCTGATCCTCCCCCTACTTTGGATAGAGTGAGAGCGAACGGTCTATCCCTCATCCTGATACCTCTCCTGGAGGGCTGGACGATATGGCCAAATTATGATATCACAGTATTTTTAAAAATTGGACGGTATGACAGTATTTTATGGTATTTTATGTTTTTTAATAATTAAAGTTCAAAATTTGCTTTATGTGTAGTGCGTGACACTAGGGTGGCAAAACATACATTCTAAGTGATTTCAATGGGTCTTTCTCCATTCTGATTGTTTTAAACTGTTAAATACAACAAATTTAACAATTTCTGCATTTCCTGCACTCATTTGAGATAATTTCCACACTGCCACATAGGGTTGCATGATATGGGCAAACAATTTAGGCTTTATTTTTAACCAAATGTTGCAATTGCTATTTGACTTTTAGAGCAAAACACTTGGGTGAACTGTTGGAATCATGGAAATATAAGGATTATTCTAATTCTATAGTTAGAATATAATATTCGGCACTTTGAATACAGTGTTGTTTGACATGACAACGAATGAAAATGCCAGGGAGGAGTTATTGTGACAGATTAGGAACCAAATTGTTGGTAAGTGTTTCCTAGGGGACCCTAAAATCTTTGGCTACATTGAATGTTTTCCCTTCGCTACTTCATGTAGCTAACATATTCATGCTTTGCGTATTCCTATGTCGTCATCAACATTGTTGCATCTGCTGAATTGGCCATGCAGACTGAATGCAAGTGTCTCGTGATAGAGGAACAACAAATGCTCTCCTCGAGTGACGGGGCTTTGCTAGGTCTGTGTGGAAAGTGGTGTGGCGAGAGAGAGAGAGAGGACTCAAGTAGTGAAGTAAACTATAAAAATGGATGTTACACACGGCGTATCACATTTAACAAACCAAACATTCAAATATCGTTATAGAAGGTAAAGTAAAAACCCAAACCGGTCCGTCCATCAATACTGGTATATCGTAAAATACGGTATACTGCCAAGGGTGAAATATTCCACCCTCATCCGGAGCTGATGGATCTCTGGGCCTGGCCCGTGAGAGGTCCAACTTAGACTCCGTGGGCTTGCCTCCGAACGTGGTTGCCACAATTCAGAGCGCCAGAGCCCCTTCTACAAGAGGTCTTTACGACCTGAAGTGGAGGGTATTTGAGAGGTGGTGTGAGAGACGTGAGTTGGTCCACTTTCAGTGTTCCCTTCCAGCCGTTCTCTCCTTCCTAAAGGAATTGCTCGACAAGGGCAATGCCTTTTCCACCGTTAAGGTCTACTTGGCGGCGATATTAGCCTGCCATGTAGGACTAGGTGAGACGACAACCGTCGTTTTATGAATGGAGCGCGCGGTCTCCATCCGGTCTCCAAGCCACTTGCCCCATCATGGGACTTGGCGCTGGTTCTGGATGTACTTACAGGCGATCACTTTGAACCCCTGGAGACAGTGGAACTTAAGACTGTCTTATAAGATGGCCCTGTTGCTCGCCTTGGCCACAGCCAAGCACGTTAGCGACCTTCATGTGCACTCAGTTCATCCTTCATGCACTGTTTGCCCCCAACTACTCAAAGGTTATGAATACGTGCTAACGCTGCGTTCATTCCTAAGGTCATTCCCATGACTTCTAGTAGTCAAGCCCCTGACCTCTTCCCCTCCGCCGTTCTCTTCTCCAGAGCAGTGGGGCCTTAACACGTTGTGTCTGGTGCACACACCGCGCATCTACATGGACAGGACTAGGCCATTCTGGAATTGTGACCAACTGTTTGTTTGCTTTGCCACCCCGCTCAGGGTAGGGCTTGGTCCAAACAACGCCGCTCCCATCGGGTAGTGGTGGCTGTCGCCAAGGCGTACAGTTGTCGGGGATTGCAGTCTCCACTGGGTGTCCGTGCACATTCCACTATAGGAATTGCCACGTCATGGGCACTGTTCAGGAGGCATCTCCGTCTTGGAGATTTGTGTGGCGGCTAGTTGGGCTTCCCCTCACCTTTTGTGAGGTTCTATCATCTGGACGTTACTGCACACAGTCCTTGGCGCTGGAGCTGAGTAGGTTGGATCAAGTACATTACCATGTACCACAAAAGGCTTCTCAGGAAACAGGCTATTGGCAATCGGGGTGTTTTTGCAAGTGTCCCATAGTGAGATGTCGAACCGAGTCGACTGAAAGATAACTTTGAGTTACGGCATTTAACCCCGGTTCTCTGAAGGAGATGAGGGAGATGTCTCACCAGATTTCCCCTCATGCACAACTCGTGTAAGAGGTAGTTCTTAGAATGAGGAAACTAGAGCAGTGCAGGGTGTTTCTATAGACACGAGGGGCGTACACCCACAAAGCTCACATTGGCCTGTTAGGTGTGATTGAATAAGGCTTCAACCAAAGTCCCACAAAAGACGGCATGTCCCATAGTGATATGTCTCCCTCATCTCCTTCAGAGAACCGGGGTTACATACCATAACCCAAAGTTTTATGCTTAGTAGTACTGATAGTGCCTGTGATGGGGAATTTTAAGATCACTAAAGTTCATATTCTGTACACTGACTATATCGTTCTGTGAGTGTAACCCTTGTCATTGTCTTTAGGCAGATTGTGACAGAGTTATAGTAAATATACAGTAACCTGTTTACAGGGAAATGTAGTACTGTAATTAACATGCAGTCAAGATCCCTCTCTTGCTCCTCACAGGCCCCTCCTCCATATGTCCAGCCACCATTCTTTGGAAATGACCTTCTACTTTCTTACTTGTACTGTAGTGTTGCTGAGCAAATTTAGTTAGTTGTTCTATCGCATCAATGTCTACTGGTCATAATGAGTGATTCATTCAAATCTTCAATTTTCATCCAGGCTGTTCCATACAAGAACATGATCAATGGTGGACTCCACCCTGGACGCACCATCAACATCCAGGGAGTGGTTAACCCCAATGCCAATAGGTCTGATCCTGCCTTATTGTCTTTACAGTAACGGGGAACAACAGTGAGAAATACACTTCCCCTGGAGTTATAGGCACAATATAAAATCATATATACAGTACCAGTCAAAAGTTTGGACACACATACTCATTAAAGGGTTTTTCTTTATTTTTACTATTTTCTACATTGTAGAATAATAGTGAAGACATCAAAACTATGAAATAACACATATGGAATCATGTAGTAAAAAAGTGTTAAACAAATCAAAATATATTTCATATTTTAGATTCTTCAAAGTTGCCACCCTTCGCCTTGATGACAGTTTTGTACACTCTTGGCATTCACTCAACCAGCTTCACCTGGAATGCTTTTCCGACAGTTTTGAAGGAGTTCCCACATATGCTGAGCACTTGTTGGCTGCTTTTTCTTCACCCTGGTGTCCAACTCATCCAAAACCATCTCAATTGGGTTGAAGACGGGTGATTGTGGAGGCCAGGTCATCTGATGCAGCACTCCATCACTCTCCTTTTTGGTAAAATAGCCCTTACACAGCCTCGAGGTGTGTTGGGTCATTGTCCTGTTGAAAAACAATTGATAGTCCCACTAAGCCCAAACCAGATGGGATAGTGTATCGCTGCAGAATGCTGAGCTAGCCATGCTGGTTAAGTGTGCCTTGAATTCTAAATAAATCACAGACAGTGTCACCAGCAAAGCACCCCCACACCTTCACACCTCCTCCTGCATGCTTCACGGTGGGAATCACACATGCGGAGACCATCCGTTCACCTACTCTGCATCTCACAAAGACACGGCGGTTAGAACGGAAAACCTCCAATTTGGACTCCAGACAAAAGAACAGATTTCCACCGGTCTAATGTCCATTTCTCGTGTTTCTTGGCCCAAGCAAGTCTTCTTCTTATTGGTGACCTTTTAGTAGTGGTTTCTTTGCAGCAATTCGACCATGAAGGCCTGATTCACGCAGTCTCCTCTAAACAGTTGATGTTGAGATGTGTATGTTACTTGAACTCTGTGAAGCATTTATTTGGGCTGCAATTTCTGAGGCTGGTAACTCTAATGAACTTATCCTCTGCAGCAGAGGTAACTCTGGGTCTTCCTTTCCTGTGGCAGTCCTCATGAGAGCCAGTTCCATCATGGAGCTTGATGGTTTTTGCGACTGCACTTGAAGAAACTTTTAAAGTTCTTGAAATGTTCCGTATTGACTGACCTTCATGTCTTAAAGTAATGATGGACTGTCATTTCTCTTTGCTTATTTGAGCTGTTCTTGCCATAATATGGAATTGGTCTTTTACCAAATAGGGCCATCTTCTGTATACCACCCCTACCTTGTCACAACACAACTGATTGTCTCAAATGCATTAAGAAGGAAAGAAATTCCACAAATTAACTTTTAACAAGGCACACCCGTTGATTGAAATGCATTCCAGGTGACTACCTCATGAAGCTGGTTGAGATAATGCCAAGAGAGTGCAAAGCTGTCATCAAGGCAAAGGGTGGCTACTTTAAAGAATCAAATCAAAATATAATTTAACACGTTTTTGGTTACTACATGATTCCATGTGTTATTTCATAGTTTTACATTTTTTAGTCATTTAGCAGACGCTCTTATCCAGAGCCACTTACAGGAGCAATTAGGGTTAAGTGCCTTGCTCAAGAGCACATCGACAGATTTTTCACCTAGTTGGCTCGGGGATTAGAACCAGCGACCTTTCGGTTACTGCCACAACGCTCTTAACCACTAAGCTACCTGCCGCCCTGTCTTCACTATTATTCTACAATGTAGAAAATAGTAAAAATAAAGAAAAACCCTGGAATGAGTAAGTGTATCCAAACTTTTGACTGGTACTGTATATTTAAATGAAAAAAAGCATAGAAGAAATTTAGCAATTCTAGTTCACCTCATTTCCATGGTATTGCAAGTGTGTGTCAATTAGTCCTTGGCTTAGAAAGAGGTAGGCCTACAAAACATACTGGAGGGTGAAACTATAGCAGTTCTCCGGTCATGGTTTCTCCCCAACACTGATCTTATCCTTTTCCCCTTGCCTATAGGTTCCACGTTAACCTACTGTGCAACTCTGGGATTGCGCTGCACTACAACCCCCGATTTGACGAGACCCTAGTGGTACGCAACACCAAGCTGAGAGACCAGTGGGGAAAGGAGGAGCGCTCTGGTGGAATGCCCTTCCACAGGGGCCAGGCCTTCACGGTAAACCATCCACTTTCATCTAAGACTGGCGTTACACGACGCAGCTTGTATACAATCTCAGTTTCAAGGATGAATAATTATTTATTGTTTCAGCACCAAGCATGCCACTTATCTTTCTGTCTAGCTAAGCCCTTTCCTGATACTGATTTCCTTGCTGGTTTAGTCACTCACTGTGGCATGACATTCATTAGAGAGATGATCCACGTTAAAGATGCTGGACTGTTTCTCTCTTTATATCAGAGACTGAGTACTAATATGGCTAGTTTGGTCTTTTCAGCTGTCTATTTACTGTGAGGCTCAGTGCTACAAGATAGTGGTCAACGGGAATCAGACGAGCAACTACAAACACCGCCACACCCTCCTCCAGCAGGTCAACGTCCTGGAGGTGGATGGAGACCTCAGTTTGACCTCTGTGATGGTTTAGTGCTGTGGGTCACAACTTTCTTCGGTGACCTAGCCACTAATTTCGTTTTGTGTCACCTCTGACCCAAACCATTTGTGTTTTTTTAATCTGTTCTTGCTGCAAAAAAAATTACATTCACTTTGTTTCTTTACTGCAGGCACTGCCTGTTAGACTACCTAACTTGCTAATTTATTATTAGTGAGTGCCGTGCCATCGACTTCAAGGATGAGAAATGTGTTCCTGTTTATTATAAATCACAGTAGAAAGCCATTAGAAATCACATTGATTGCTTTAGCCATGTTTCTTGCTACAAAAATTCTTGAATCATTATTATTTAGTGATATAATGCCAGATCTGACGTTATCTACCATGAGAAGTACCCTGAGGACAATGTCTGGTAATGTGTAGCCTAGTTCATCACCAGTGGTCTCTATACTCTTTTTAAACATTTTAAGATATATATATTATGTGTTCTTTTTTTTTCAAATGTGAAAATATGTGTAGTAAGACTAGCTATGCCTCTAAATCAGGGCTCTCCAACCCTGTTCCTGGAGAGCTACTGTCCTGTAGGTTTTCACTCCAACCCTGTTCCTGGAGAGCTACTGTCCTGTAGGTTCTCACTCCAACCCTGTTCCTGGAGAGCTACTGTCCTGTAGGTTTTCACTCCAACCCTAATCTAGCACACCTGATTCTAATAATTAGCTGGTTGATAAACTGAACCAGGTTAGTTACTGGGGTTGGAGCGAAATCCTACAGGAGGGTAGCTCTCCAGGAACAGGGTTGGAGACTCCTGCTCAAAAGCCTTGTTCTCACTGCAGGACTTAATGCTGAAATCAGTTTTGTTTTTAAAATCTGTTTTTGTTATACTGACTGTCCAAACAGCAAGTTACAAGTGACCAAATAGGATTTGTGTGTGTTCAGACACTAGTGAGTTGCTGACATGTGACCGTTCCTGGTGCAAAAACAATGTCCTATCCCGGCGCTTCAGTAAATGACATTACTAAGCTGCTCCCGAATGTACTACGTCAGGACATAGAAATCGATTCTATCGTAGTCCATGTGGGTTTTAGTTACATTATGAAGGGCAGCTCTGAACAGTTGAAACTGGATTTTAAAGAGCTGATTGACTCTCTGCTAGACACTAACAAAATACCCATCATATCTGTCCCTGTGCCCTCTCTGAATAGTGGCATTGAATGCTTTAGCAGGATTCTTTCTCTTCCCAACTGGCTACGTGATTATTGCAACTCAATGGGTGTAACTTTTGTTGACAATTTCGATACCTTTTGGAAACAAAACACGTTTTATAAGGAGAATGGGATCCACCCAAATCATTTGGGTTCCTGGATCCGTTCACAGCATTATAAGGCTGTGTTGAGACAACGACTTATCAATGACCCAAGCCCAGCTCAGCTAATCCCTACCATTGTGATGCAGTTGTCATAATGCTTCAGCAAATGTACATTACATTGTCTACCAACACCCCTGGTGTAAGTAACCTAAATTATGTCCCTCTAACTGCCCTGAATGCCTCTGCTGATCCTACAGCTATTGTATGCAGTAATCATGTGCCTATGAACCAGATTTATACTGTTAGCACTGAGGCGGTGTGCCCTAATAGGAAGTCCACTGTGTGCAGCTCACTCTGCACTAACATAAATAACATGTGAATATCTACTTCCGCTAAGCTTCCCAGTAAAGCAATGAAAACAAGTAAGCATCCCAGAAGAAAAGTGCTCAAAATAGCCCACGTTAACATATGTAGCTTAAGAAACAAGGTTCATGAAATCAATAATTTGCTAGTAACAGATGACATTCATATTCTGACTATCTCTGAATCTCACCTAGATAATACCTTTGGTGATACAGTGGTAGCAATACAAGGTTATAACATTTACAGAAATGCCAGTGGTGTAGATGTTGCTGTTTATATTCAGAACCACATTCCTGTAAAGATTAGAGAGAATCTCATGTTAAATACTGTTGAAGTAATATGGCTACAGGTTCATCTGCTTCACCTAAAGCCCATTCTGGTGGGAAGCTGCTATAGACCACCAAGTGCTAACAGTCAGTATCTGGATAACGTGTGAAATGCTTGATAATGTACAGTTGAAGTCGGAAGTTTACATACACTTAGGTTGGAGTCAATAAACCCGTTTTTCAACCACTCCACAAATGTCTTGTTAACAAACTATAGTTTTGGCAAGTCGGTTAGGACATCTACTTTGTGCATCACACAAGTAATTTTTCCAACAATTGTTTACAGACAGATTATTTCACTTATAATTCACTGTATCACAATTCCAGTGGGTCAGAAGTTTACATACACTAAGTTGACTGTGCCTTTAAACAGCTTGGAAAATTCCAGAAAATGATGTCATGGCTTTAGAAGCTTCTGATAGGCTAATTGACATCATTTGAGTCAATTGGAGGTGTACCTGTTGATGTATTTCAAGGCCTACCTTCAAACTCAGTGCCTCTTTGCTTGACATCATGGGAAAATCAAAAGAAATCAGCCCAGACCTCAGAAAAACAATTGAGGACCTCCACAAGTCTGGTTCATCCTTGGGAGCAATTTCCAAACGCCTGAAGGTACCACGTTCATCTGTACAAACAATAGTACGCAAGTATAAACAACGTGGGACCACGCAGCCGTCAAACCGCTCAGGAAGGAGACGTGTTCTGTCTCCTAGAGATGAACATACATTGGTGCGAAAAATGCAAATCAATCCCAGAACAACAGCAAAGGACATTGTGAAGATGCTGGAGGAAACAGGTACAGAAGTATCTATATCCACAGTAAAACGAGTCCTATCTCGACATAACCTGAAAGAAATAAAAGCTGAAAGAAATAATTCTCTACTATTATTCTGACATTTCACATTCTTAAAATAAAGTGGTGATCCTAACTGACCTAAAACAGGGGATTTTTACTAGGATTAAATGTCAGGAATTGTGAAAAAGTGAGTTTAAATGTATTTGGCTAAGGTGTATGTAAACTTCCGACTTCAACTGCATGTGATATCAACAGAGAGGTATATTTTCTGGGTGATTTAAATATTGACTGGCTTTCATCAAGCTGCCCACTCAAGAAAAAGCTTCAAACTGTAACCAGTGCCTGTAACCTGGTTCAGGTTATCAGTCAACCTACCACAGTAGTTACAAACAGCACAGGAATGAAATCATCAACATGTATTGATCACATCTTTACTAATGCTGCAGAAATGTGCTTGAAAGCAGTATCCAGATCCATCGGATGTAGTGATCACAATATAGTAGCCATATCTAGGAAAACCAAAGTTCCAAAGGCTGGGCCTAATATAGTGTATAAGAGGTCATGCAATACGTTTTGTAGTGAATCCTATGTTGTACTCCTGAGTGGCGCAGTGGTCTAAGGCACTGCATCGCAGTGCTAACTGTGCCACTAGAGATCCTGGTTCGAATCCAGGCTCTGTCGCCGCCGGCCGCGACCGGGAGACTCATGGGCGGCGCACAATTGGCCCAGGGTAGGGGAGGGAATGGCCGGCAGGGATGTAGCTCAGTTGATAGAGCATGGCGTTTGCAACGCCAGGGTTGTGGGTTCGATTCCCACGGGGGGGCAGTATAAAAAAAATATGTATTCACTAACTGTAAGTCGCTCTGGATAAGAGCGTCTGCTAAATGACTAAAATGTAAATGTAAATGTTGATGTAACTAATATTTGTTGGTCCGTGGTGTGTAATGAGGAGCAAACAGATGCTGCACTTGACACATTTATGAAATTGCTTATTCCAGTTACTAATAAGCATGCACCCACTAAGAAAATGACTGTAAAAACTGTTAAATCCCAGTGGATTGATGAGGAATTTTAAAATTGTATTGTTGAGAGGGATGAGGCAAAAGGAATGGCAAATAAGTTTGGCGGAACAACCGATTGGCAAACGTATTGCAAATTGAGAAATAATGTGACTAAACTGAATAAAAATAAGAAGAAACTACACTATGAAACAAAGACAATGACATAAAGAATGATAGTAAAAAGCTTTGGAGCACCTTAAATTAAATGTTGGGGAAAAAGGCTAACTCCATCATTCATTGAATCAGATGGCTCATTCATTACAAAACCAACTGATATTGCCAACTACTTTAATGATTTTTTCATTGGCAAGATTAGAAAACTTAGGCATGACATGCCAGCAACAAACGCTGACACTACACATCCAAGTATATCTGCCCGTCAGGAAGTCCAGGATCCAGTTGCAGAGGGAGGTGTTTAGTCCCAGGGTCCTTAGCTTAGTGATGAGCTTTGTTGGCACTATGGTGTTGAACGCTGAGCTGTAGTCAATGAACAGCATTCTCACATAGGTGTTCCTTTTGTCCAGGTGGGAAAGAGCAGTGTGGAGTGCGATTGAGATTGCATCATCTGTGGATCTGTTGGGGCGGTATGCGAATTGGAATGGGTCTATGGTTTCCGGGATGATGGTGTTGATGTGAGCCATGACCAGCCTTTCAAAGCACTTCATGGCTACCGACGTGAGTGCTACGAGGCGGTAGTCATTTAGGCAGGTTACCTTCGCATTCTTGGGCACAGGGACTATGGTGGTCTGCTTGAAACATGCAGGTATTACAGACTCGGTCAGGGAGAGGTTGAAAATGTCAGTAGACACTTGCCAGTTGGTTTGCGCATGCTCTGAGTACACGCCCTGGTAATCCGTCTGGCCCCGCGGCCTTGGGAATGTTGACCTGTTTAAAGGCCTTGCTCACATCGGCTACGGAGAGAGAGCGTGATCACACAGTCATCCGGAACAGCTGATGCTCTCATGCATGCTTCAGTGTTGCTTGCCTCGAAGCAAGCATAAAAAGGCATTTAGCTCGTCTGGTACGCTCGCATCACTGAGCTGCTGGCGGCTGGGTTTCCCTTAGTAGTCCGTAATAGTTTGGGAGCCCTGTCACATTTGACGAGTGTCAGAGCTGGTGTAGTAGGATTCATTCTTAGTCCTGTATTGACGCTTTGCCTGTTTGATGGTTCGTCTGAGGGCATAGCGGGATTTCTTATAATCGTCCGGATTAGTGTCCCGCTCCTTGAAAGCGGCAGCTCTAGCCTTTAGCTCGATGCGGATGTTGCCTGTAATCCATGTCTTCTGGTTGGGATATGTACGTACGGTCACCGTGGGGACATCGTCGTCGATGCACTTATTGATGAAGCCGGTGACTGAGGTGGTATATTCCTCAATGCCATTGGATGAATCACGGAACATATTCCAGTCTGTGCTAGCAAAATAGTCCTGTAGCGTAGCATCCACGTCATCTCACCACTTCCGTATTGAGCAAGTCACTGGTACTTCCCGCTTTAATTTTTGCTTGTAAGCAGGAATCAGGAGGATAGAATTATGGTCAGATTTGCCAAATGGAGGGCGAGGGAGAGCTTTGTATGCGTCTCTGTGTGTGGAGTAAAGGTGGTCTAGAGTTTCTTTTCCTCTGGTTGCACATGTGACATGCTGGTAGAAATGAGGTAAAACAGCTTTAAATTTGCCTGCATTAAAGTCCCCGGCTACTAGGAGCGCCGCTTCTGGATGAGCATTTTCTTGTTTGCTTATGGCCTTATAC